AGCATTTACAGAGGGAGAGTGCCGTGGCTTGCTGAAAGCTCATCAAAGAGTGGCTTATTTTATCAGCCAAGTGGAAAATGTGCTGAGAAAGAGAGGGAGAGGCAATAGTGAGGAAGTCAGCGAGAGTAACAAAGCCATTGTGCCCGTCACTGACCCAAACACCCGTATTACAGTAGTTGCAGCTCCTCACAAAAAAGCCCTAATCGGCAGAGCGGGGCTCTAAATTAAATGACCCTCTGGTTGTGACACTGTAACTGACAAGTCAGAATGTTCACACCAAGGCCAAAGGCAAGAGAGATATGGCTAATGAACAGAAAAACCCACTGAAATTGGTGGCACACGTCAGTAACCTACATTCTTGTAAGTTTGAAACCATTCATTAACCGCCAGCTATTGCCAAGAATGGAAAGCCTTTAAAATAAGTTACATTCAGAGGCTAATCTTATCAGGATTCAAAGACTTTGTTTACGCTTAAAGATAAACCTAACGCCCTCTGAAAACTGACTAATTGATCACTTCCATGGCCATAGATAGTAAGGATGTGGAAAGCATCTAGGCATGTATACACCTTCTGCAAACATTTTGAAATGAAGGGGTCACCTCTTGGAGCTTCGTAAAAACTACTGTGATATCAGCTACCTGTGCCAGTTCAGTCCTGAAATGTCCTCATTTGTAAATATCCCACCATCCCCTGTTAATGTCAAGTAATTGGAAACAAAAACAACCCTGCCACTGAAGTGACCATATGTCAGCAGGATTAATAGCTAATGGTCTTCAAATTTTGTGTGGTCTTCTGAGTAGCCCAAGAAAAAGAGCAGGGGTCTTGTTTATAAAGCTTGAATACACACAAAACGAGTCCTGAAACTTACGTCACACAATGTGAGATCCTCCTGACCTATGCATACACTCCTTTTAAAGCCAGGGGAGAAAGGTGACACAAATGGTGAGGTGGGGCCCTAAAGCCAGACTGCATCATAATTCCACTCATAAAATCAATTTCACTGGATATGTAACTTAATCATAGATATCCTAAATGTTCAAACCTGCAGGGTGATATATGCTTGCACTGATGAGCCATAACTCAGTTCAAAATCAAAGTCCACAAATATTGAAACCTTTTCTCAACACACTCCTCTCACCAGTGATCACAAGGTTTCTAGTCATAAATTGTGACTAGATGCAAGTTATTTAATCTGACTCCTGTAAACATGTAGATAAAAGTTTGACACATGAATATATAAAGCCACACACACATATATATATATATATATATATATATATATATATATATATATATATATATATATATATATATATATATATAAGCATTTAAAGACAACCAATGTGGCTAAATAATGTCCAGTTCTTCCAAAATAAAATACTATATCTATACAACCAAATGCTATAGAGATAAATGGAAGTATTTAAAGCTGAATAATTTTGTGACTTTGAGTAGGGGATATGTTGTCCAATGCTACAGCAGCGTTTGGAAGTTGTCATTACATATGCATTATAAACAAAATGTAAATAAAAATTAAATAAAAATGTAATTGCCCCAACAATGTGAGAACATATTACAAATGACCCATTGTAACTCCATATGATTGGTCACCATTGCACAAAGCAAGATCTGTTGGGCTATGGACAAGCAACCACAGAGGTACCTCATTTATTTTTAGAGTCTAGACCTTAACCCAATAGAGCACCTTTGACTAATGCAGCCTGTACACTGTGACCCAGTTCTTCTCATCAACTCTTAGCATGTCTGACCTGAAAAAAGCTCTTCATAAAGAGTGTTGAGATGTTTTTGTAAACATCATCCTAAACCTTAAGGACAGCCTGCCTGCAGTGGCAAAATCTATTCTAATGACTATGTATTAGGAACAGAATGTCATTAAAGACAAGGGTTTTATTACGTATGGCAATATGACAACCATCAGTTTATTAAATAAATTTTTTAAATTTTATTTTCCAATATAACCCTACTAGTTACTAAGAAAAGGAAATTGCACAAACAAGGTCCTTGGCCATGATGGCTGTCTTTACCACATGATGCTACATTGCAATGGTTACTCAAGTAATCATAGACCATAAGCAATCTCTTTGACAAACTCAAGCCAAGGGGCAGCAATTACAATGCAAAGTCAGCGCCATGACACCCAAGGGTCACATTAAATTCAGGGACGCTAAGAACAATTGACTCAGCTGGGTGACAACCGCTGGAAGATTATGTATGTTCCACATCTTCCTTGTGCTTTAGCCTTACTAATACTAAGACTGTTTGTTGCATAACATGTTATTTCCTTACTTCTTTATTTTACCCTAAATAGTTAATAATCTAAAAAAATGTATCAGTATAACAAGGTTTCTTCATGAGGTCTGAAAAAGAACAGTGCAAACCTCTGAGATAGGGGCCATTGCAGATTGGAAATTCAGGTAGAAATACAATAAATGTACTTTTATAGTCTCCAAAACTACAGCACTTAGGCAAATGAAACATTTATACCGCTAAAATTTCACACATAAAGAATGCAAGCTCAAGTGTTTTATTATGTATGATAATAACATGGTTTTGTTACCCCTTGGGAGTAAATGGTATCCGATCCTTTTTTTCGAACCACAACAGTGGACAGAAAAAACAATAGTGCCCATCATAGAGGTTTGTGCACTTGTCACCACAGCAAGCAGTTTCAAGGTACTGTATAATCTCCTACTTTTTGATCCCCATACTTTAGAGTCATCTGTATCCCACAGCACTGGAAAGGAGTCTATAATATCACAAATCTTAAATATTGTGCAACTGATTAAAGTTCTGCAAGTTACAGTATTAGCCCAGACACACATACAGTAGTTTGGGCTTACAGTTCCTCAGTTGTTTGATTTTCCATTCGGGTATGCAAAATAGGCAAGGATTACTTAAACTTAGGTGGGTTTTAAGAGGTTAATATCAAATTAACATATTGCTAGAAGAAGGTGAAAAGATAAAATGTACATTAAGCATTACCAGTATTGTCAAGTCACAGCTACTTTTCGCATATTTAAAACCATCAGCCAACATTCTATACTAGCTTTTTCAATATTTTGATTTTTACCCATTTCAACTGAAGTAGATGGCATAATACTCTTGTTTAATCCATCTTCAAGCAATCATTTTGCGATTTACCTGCAGGTTCTTAACTAAATTAAAATCAAGATTTCCACATACTATTATGGTGTACTTTTTACATGGTTCGAGAGTCCAAACTCTCAATAGTGAAAACTATATATTTGGCAAGAGCTAATGAGGATCTGGTCCTCATTTTAAACATATTTTGTAACTTGCTTCTTTGAGCAAGCAGTTAATAAAAGGTCAAAAGCCTGGCATGCTATCTGTCCTCACTTGAGACATGTAAGACTAGCAAGACATAAGTATATACTCCAGTTTGGCCTGTTTCTTAACTGTGTGAGAAGATGCCAGAGCTGGCTGATGGTTTTTGTGTCAAGTGATCTCTTCTGCTCACTCACTGGTATTTCTAAAAGGAACAAACCCACTCTGAGCAGCAGCCAGGCTGAGACTTTATTAAAGGCAAAAATCTTTGCTAGATATTTTGTGCCTTAAACAAAAAAAATATCAAATCGAGGCTTTAATTCAGACTGTTAGAGTGCTCTTTAATACAAAAAAAGTGCAGTTATATTCATGCACTGTCAATAACTTTCCAACACCTTACTAAAATTCAAGCATTTTCAAGTATTTGATGCACCTGTAGGAAGCCTGTCCACTGACAAAAATATTGAGTGAAAGGAACTAGAAATAGAGGTTGGCTCATTAATATATAAAGCCTCATGGTCACATCCAAACCTGTTGATACAAGCCTATTATTGTCTGCGAGGCGCTTCTGATACCATCTCATTTATCTCAGTATGATAAATTCTTGCCCTGTGACAGTCCGGTGAGCTGTCCATCGTGTACCCCATCTTGCGCCCATAGACTGTCAGAGATGGGCACCAGCCCCACCATGACCGTGAGGGCATAAGCGGGAGAGGATTGATGGGTGGATGATACATTCTCTGTCCTTCTGGAAAAAAGTGTGTATTTTCTATAAGTGGACTACAATGAAAATTATGGTCATCCTTATTTAAAATATTCTCATTCAAAAGAAAATGACTACCTTTGAAGGTCGCAATAACAGTGGGAGTGGGCTTTGTTTGGCTGACATCGTGGCTTAGGTTCTTAAGCAGTATGCTTAAGATGTGGATGTGCAAATGATAATTTAGCATGTTACTATGATGGTATGTACTGTAAAGCTTTAGTAGAGGCTCATTACCCGAAGGGCTTGAAATACAAATCCACAAGAGCACACTCAAAGGCAATGAGAGTATGTACTAGAGTGCTGCAGGAAATCAAGGACAATGCCTTAACTGAGTGAAGTCACAAAACAGGTATAAGATTTCATGCAAAATAAATTAAATACAAACTACTCCTTTTTTTCTTCAAGCAAGCAATATGTCAGTAAGTACAGCTTAAAAAACGTAACAATGCCAAAACAAAATTCTACATCTAATTGTAGTATTACTTTCCATTAAAAATGATTACAGAGACTTTAACCTAAAATATTTAGTTTCCCAATTAAAGTGATGAAGTGCTTGAGATACGTTTGCTAATGACCAATCTGTAACTCATTATTTTCAGCTTACTGGTATGAAAACAAGACAAAATTATGACAAATTTTCCTGAGCAAAAAGTGACACCTCTAAATGTGCTTGGGTTCCACCAAAATGATCAACCACAAACACAGTTGTTAAAAATTGTGCTCTTAACTGGGTCTAATTGTGTGTGACTGACTATGCCATTCAACAAGCTGCCTTTGCTCCAGAAATCTGTAACTGATTGAGAGCCTGTATCAAGTTACCAGTAGTTTACTTCTGAATCCCGTTCCCATGTGCTAGCCTGCGTGCCCAGGCCAACCTTTGGTGCCCTAGCCCCCCACCCTGTCAGGAGTGGAACTTGACCCTCTCTGAGCTCTGAGTCCATCCTGCAAGCTGAATATAACTTTGCCATGAGCGAATACAGAGATGTGTTTCCAATGAAATTCAAACTTTGTGTATGTGAGTCGATGTGTTTATGTAAGATTCAGTTGTATTTTCCTTGTGTATACACATTCATCTCTTTGCATATGGTCCGTGTAACCGACCGTTTATTTGTTCATATCAGACTGCTTATGGTTTTGTTACTATGTATATGGGGTGTGTATGTGTGTGTAGGGGCTCTGGAGTATCTCAACACCCAAGGCGCTGAGGACATGGCTTGACAGGTGTATGCAGTGGTCTGCACAACAGCAGAAGGCAAGCAGCGGCACAATGTGCCCATTCAAGCCTGGAAGGAAACAACCAAGATATCACAGGACCCCTGTGAGAAGGAGCCGGTCATCTCGGGGCACATCAACCTTTCACTGTGACTACAAAGGAAGACATAACTACGACTGCTTAAAGAGCAATGGTACCATGTGACCTTGTATAAGGTAGCCATCTACCAGCATGAATAGAGGTTGTCAACAGCTTCAACAGCGGATAGATTTGGCCAAGATAACTTTGGTCAAATCAGGTTTACTATGTACCAATAGATCTTCCTAGCTGGAGAGTCAAAAGAAGGTGAGAGATTATGTAGGACAAGACTGGCAACACTTGGCATAGAGAACCCATATCTTCAGTAGCTCCCCTTCCCAGAGAAAAAATGTAGATCTGTAAATAATACAGATCCTAAAAAATTTTTTCCCAACCTAATATTTTTTCATAATTTATAGAAAAATTGCAAGCAAAATGTATACTTTTTAGAGTTAGTTGAAATATAAAATAAAGCCATGGTTTGTATTGGAAAACAATATAGTCCGTCTTGTCCAAATTATAGACCTTATTGTCCCAGACATCTAGAAAAAAATCTAGTTTGACTCATTTCCCTACTAACAAAGGGCACTTGATATTTTAACTTAATGTGAGCGCTCCATTGGAAGCTGCTGCTGCCACAGTGCATGCTGGGACAGCTGTCAATCTCAAGAATTGACAAGTCTACTCTGATGCATACTCAGTAAAGAGGGAGGGGCAAGAACAACATCCGGGAACTTTGTCTGTTCTCGGTCTTGTGTTCTTGTGAACTGCAACAGTACTAGGGCTTATTGCATAAGTACGTACACATATTGAGAAACGGCTAGTGTCTCTGTCCCCATTTTGGATAGGAGATAACTTTTAACGAGCAGTCTAATATATCATGAAGTAACTTAGAATGACAGAACATTTAACCTTTTACAATAATTCTTAATAGTACCGAAATATATCAAATATATATTTAATCAGGTAAGTGTCTCATCTGTTTTGCTGCCTAAAGAAAACTTTTAGTTTAGCTAGCTTTAGTGTTTAAGAGGAGCTTACACCCTTTTGGGTCACATGACTCATTCAGTGATCATCTCACCATCTCAAGTTTCATGGGAAAGAGTTTGAAAAGCCAAGAAAGAGCAACGATACGCAAAAGTGCTACATACTAACTTGAAAAATAACACATCCAATTTTAAGTTATGCAGTTGCTTTTAATTAATATTCATTTTGAACACTTACCTTAATTTACTTACTAACACCTTAAATAATTTTTAAAAAAGTAAGAAAAAAAAACAGAGCCATGAATAGTAAATAGCAAAAGAAGTCCTCATTAAAAACTCAATAAGAACTAGAGACAGGTCTCAATAAAGGTGATCCCTATATGAAAAAATAACACCCATTATGGTCTGTACATCTTTAACCCACATCCGACAAAATCTCTGAAAACACACATAATGCCACCAACACTGGTCTTAATGCAGAACATCGCACAGCTATTTTTCAGTTCCAACGTGAATCTATAGGGCACAATAACGTAGTATCGAAGAGTGGCGGAATAAGATCTGACAGAAACACCTCCTTTGAATTAGCTGCTCTAACACAGGGAAATATGTCCAAACTTAACTGAAATGTATCCCAGGGAAATCTTTTTGTTTAATAATCATAAAGTATGTTTCTCAATCTTGCCTTTTCTCAGCATATACTAGAATCCATACCCTTCCTACAAGACATTCCCTTCCATCAGCTCAGTAACCTTCACTTACTGTGGTCCTGTATGCTTCAACCTCATTGTCCCAAAGCTCCCTTCTTATACTTGTAGAAAAGTATTTAAACACATAGCCCAAAATACAAGAGCAAAAATATTAAGTGATAGGTATCTTTCTATGTATGCTTGGAAGGAATGGCCAAGTCAGTGGCTTCTGCTGCAGCATGTAAAAATCTACTGCTTTTTTATGGGCTCTGGAAACAAGCTCAATTCTTCAGCTCAGCGGTAGATAAGGGCCATGTTCTCATCAGATCACTTGAAATGAGTAAGTGTAACTAAATTTAACTTCAAAGGGAAAAAAATGAAAGTTGAAAGCAAAAGCTTACAGTGGTGCAAAGGGCACAAGGCATCTAGAAAAGTCAAGCAGCAAACAGAAATCAACCTCTAAAGCTGACCAAATCCCATTTCTAACATAGGACAGCCACTGTCTTAGCACAGATATGACTGCTACTGCATGTTAAAAGAAAATCAAAAGCAGCATCATGCACCATTTTCGAATGGGTTATATAAACTATCAATTTTTTTGGCTTAAGATGCTGTACAACCTCAAATACATTTGTTTATTTTTAAAGTTGTGCCATTTGAACACAAAAAAGGAAATCCAATCCTTAATCAAATTGCATCTTCTCAGTGGAGGAAAATTCGTTCTCACAATCACTGACAACCCCAATTACAGTATTTCTATCAAATAAGGTTTTTCTTTTCTTATATTTAATTAACATTTACGTCTATAACATTTAATGGCTTTTAATTTCCTGTTAGAAATAGTATTATAGATCACTTCCTCTTAACCACTCTTCAAATAAGTAAACACAGAAGAGCATGTTGTGCATTTACAGAAATGGTGAACACCAAAATAAAAGCAGGTTATCTCAGTTTTCTTTTTCTTTTTTTTTATAAACACACTGTTATAGGAACATTGAAACGTTTCAAAAGATAGAAAGAAGTTTACTGTGAAAAGCATTATAAGCATTAAAACAAAAATCTAAAGCACTATTACTCTCATTGAATGAAATTACCTAATTACATTTAAATCACTTTTTAGGACTGAAAATTAAAAGTTTAGAACTTCAACTGAACTTGTGACCTGCACATTCAACTAATTGTTGAGACTTTATTTTATTTATCATAATCACTTTAAATTATTTGTAAAATACTTGAGACTGGACAAAACAGTCTCTTAAGCATCCATTTTCTGCATGTTTCAGTCTTCTGAACTGTAATAAGAGAATACTGTAGGTTTTGCTCTATTAGCAAAATGGCGGTTGTGCAAAGAACTGCCAGTGGTGGCATCAATTACTCTGCCACCACCGGTTTTGTTTTAACACTGAACAAATATATTCAATTTAAAAATTCAAAATTTTACAAGTGTGATTTAAACCTGTGCAATAAGTTGCATTTATGTTAATGCTCTTCATAAATCTTTACCAGGGGAGCCAACGGGGGCTCCTGTTGTTATCATATTACCCTCCGAACCTATTTCGCATTAATTCTCAAACCTAATTTTGTTTTTCTGCTGAGGCTGGGAAATAAAGAAATGTTCCTAAATTTGTTATCGGCTCCAAGAGGTGGTAAACCGATACCTGTGACCTTCTTGACTTTTTACTATCTAGGGGGTCCAGCTCATTTTAACTGAAAATAATAACTCACTCTGGTATCCAGTTGAGGTAACAGTATAGCAGGACTCTTAATAGTAAACCTTTCACTAACTACTACAAAATATATTAACAGCCTGCATTGCACATTTAATGGTTTCTGTTACACGGTTCATCTACAAGTCAGGAAAAGCTATTGGAGCACATTTATTGCCTTGCAAAAGTCTCTGGTTTTCTTCACAGTGGTTTATTTTGATTTGATCATGATAAAATCAGTGCATAACTGTGAAGTGGAAGAATAGCAATACATAATTTCTAATTATTTATTCAAAATTGCTAAAGCTCATCAGTTTTGTAGAGCATAGACCTTAAGTTTAAGTCTTTCATTAATTCTCATCTGAATTTAATTTTAACCCAGGGTCTACTTTAATCCTAACCAATACTGTGCAGTCTGGCGTCGTAATTTTTGCAGGTGAACATTGATCCCCAGTCTCAAGTCTTTTAAAGTGAGTTGGAACTTTGGAACCCAAAGCCATTCTATAGCAATTTTCACTTATGTCTGTTCTTCAACAATAAAATAATGCAGTTCATTTGGTTGATTGCTGACATGATTAAGTTATTTCAGCCACTGCATTCAGGTGTGCAAGACAAGGGACACTAACCCATTATTCACCCTTCATCCGTACCATTTCTAATAGAAGCCTTTCTAGTAAATATGATCATTTCCACCAGGTCTGTTGCACTGCAGCGTGACGAACAGTAGACCTACCCCTCTGTTGACAGTCAGATATAAAGATCGAGCCTATTTGTGATGGATGTTGAGCAAAACACGTCATTTTCTAAAAACCAGATGAGCAAGACAGAAAGTCAGACACATGAAGACTAAGATCGGCTAGATTTCAAAATATGAGGCTATGCATGGTTAGATCCTACACACATGATGTTTAGACAGAATAAAATCTCACAAAGAAAATAGCATCCGTCATGGATTTGTTTAAGTTAATCGTACACATGTATCGTTTCACTTCTTCAGATACACTCTTCAAGATATTGTTTTGTATTTGGATTCAAACACCCTTTCTTAATTTCCACTCCTACTTCTCTTTTAACTCAAATGTATTGCCCCTACATATAATCCTCTTTTTTGGTACTTTGGAACAGGCACACTGCAAATTAACACTCCAGGGTATAGGTGTACTGAGGCAAGTAGTTATAAAAGTGCTCAGCAATGGTATTATAGTCTGTTTGAGGGTCCTGGATTAAGTCTGGACTGGTATGATCCGCTCCAGAACTTCCACTACAGTAGGGCTAAAGCCGTTCTTATGGCTTGGTGTGGAGGCCTAATGACTGACTTATGCTTGATTCATGTAGAATCAGTGTCGAAAATTAGCCGCTCATCACATCGTCTGCAGCTTTCATACCCTATGTGGCTGTTCCCCCATCCGGAGGGGGTGTGTGCAACATGAACAGGAAGCTGACAACACCACACTTCACAAGGAAGGAGAAAACACAGCTATTTACAACTTTTTCCACATCCTCTTCATGCCATCCAAGAGTGACTGTCATTTCTTCCTAGGATTTTTTCTACAATCTGTTAAAAATGATGGCATTTATGGGCTAAATAACACAATGTCTCTAGATGTTTACATTTACTAACCATTGCTAGTAAAAGCTGCTGCTTGCTCACAATTTTTTCCTGTGTGGATCTGTCTGTGTAGTTTCAAATTTCCCTAGGTGCCCGATGCAAAAAATTCTATCCGAACAGATGCCGCACAAAGGAATGTAGAAGCCAAATATGACGTATTTTGTCCATCTTAACTTCACCAACATGTCAAGCATAAACCAAGCTTTAGATCCAAGCTCTACCAGGACTGTCTGTATTTACCTCCATCTGCTTTCCCACAAAACTGAACCGGCTTACTTTTCAATGCAGAAGAAACGCATTACCATAGTAGAGTCCTGCTACTCTTATATTATATTGTGACAATGAGGTTTTAAGGGCTATTTGGTTAATTTTGAAAGTAAGGAGCCCAAAAATATTAAAGAATTTCAAAATAAAGACAGTGTTCCACATTTCTGAAATGTAAGAAATATTTTATGAAATTGTGTTTAGTTGTGCACTTCTTAGTATTTTCGTCTTTCACAAAAAATCTATAAAACACAGAGCCGATTGTGCCTACAACATGACAAAATGTCGAAATGTTCTCAGACTTATTTTTATGGTTTATGGTATGTTCAATGTCTTTTTTTGTGTGTGGCTAAAAAAAAATGCTACAGTACAGTGGCAGACACAGAGACAGATGGTTGGCGGAGTGTGGTTTCTTGTGCATGACGAATTGTTGCATCTGCTGGTGTGATTGTGCAAAGCTCAGGGTCAGTTCGTCTTGTCAGGAAAACAGGAGAAGCCATAATCTTGAAAACAGAGAAACAAAAGCAAAGCCACCGTCTGTATCATAAGTAACTGATCTCGTTTTTTTGTAGTCCAGAGTCATCCACATGAGCAGAGGCAGACAGATCTCCTGCAGGCATTGAGGTGACACAGCCAGCCTCTAATACCCAGGTGAGGGTGACATTTTGCTAGATTAGAGACTTAAGATCACTGCAAAACAGGTATATGTACGAATCCACAGCTCAGACCTGTATGACGAGCACAGAATGATCTGTTCGCTTTGTACTTTGTCACACCTACACCCCCTGATCACAGTATACTCCAAGTATCAACAGCCAAAGTTACTAAGACATCACAACAAATAACAAAAAAAAACATAAAAACTCCATCAAAACAAAGTGCTTGCATGGCTCCTTTCCAGACTTCACCCTGATCCATTTTCATTTTTAGTGGCATTTCCTAATTAGATAAGATGCATGGTTTGATATAGATGCACTCATTGTATTAAAAGGTTATCAGAAGCACAAAAAAACATTAAAAAGCCGCTTTATGCCAGTGATGTAGAGAAAAAGAAGTCTCTGTCTTCATTTTCATCCTCTATAGACATCGGAAAATGCAAAAGAAAAAGTGATGAATAAAAGGCAATTGATTCCTGCTCAGTTTCAACCTCCACTGCCAGTGTAATTAAAAGTGGCTTCGACAGACTTCCCAATCCCAATTTTCCCCGTCAGCTTGAGAAAAGGGGCCTCTCTTGGGATTGCTATGGAATCCCTTAAGCAGGGATCAGGCTTTCCAAATAAAAAGTTGGTTTACTCACAACTAGATGGTTGCGTAAGAAGACTGTTTGATGCGAAAAGACACTGCACTAAATACAAACAACATAAAAGGTAAAAGTGGTGAAATTTTCATGCTCATTTGGCAACAGGAAGAGAAAGTAAAGCCTACAGGTGCATGGATCTTATTACAATAAAAAGTGAGTGAAAGGTTACCTTATCATCTTATTATCTATTCAATTTAAAAAAGTGTATTTCCTACATTATATATTAAAATACCTTATTGCACAGAAAGTGTCAAATTAATCATTATTTTACATAGATTAATTAGCATGGCTAACAACTAAAAAAATACGAGGTGTTCTGTTTCTCAGATAATGTTACTATAACATGACAACAATAAAGCAGAAATATTCACATATTATCATTATCTCCCTTTTATCTCCTCTTTCTTTCATCTTTTCTCCTTTTTTTCTGGTTTTTATTTGCTGTTCTACTTACATTGCAGTGTCCATATAATCTGTAAAACACCCTGCATAATTATAATAAAGCCATTTATATGCATAAAACAAGCGGAACACTATGGCGATAGCCGTACTGCTCCACTTGTGACAGTAATATCGTTGGGATATTTTTGGCACCAAGACAATTATTCTTATTGCCACATTGCCATAAAGGACACTGTTAAAAAAAAGGAAAAAAAAGAAAGAAAAAGAAATATTCACATATTTATAAATAAGAGTTCTCCTGCAGACAAATTCCTAGGAAGAAAGACTACAAAATGCCCTGACAAAAAAAAATACTTGCTGGAAAGTTTAGTGGAGGGAAAAACTGTGGTGGAAAAAGTTGAAGAGGTAACTCTATGGGAAGCTGTGGTAGTGGCTGATTTGGGACTGTTACATCTCAGATCATTTCAGAGCATACAATGCTTCGTCAGGCTACTGGTTTGTGCCCACAATGCCAAAAGTACCAATGTCTGATTAAGGAGGTATTCACAGGTGCCACATTTGCTCCACTCTAAAGAGAACAGGGTTTTACTCAGCTCTTTAAATGCAGATGTGAATAAACTAAAGCAAAATACAGTAGATACAAACCAACTCCATTCAACCCAGCTGCATAATAAATACATTTTACGGAACTGAACAAACCAGCACAGTGGTAAAAAACGTACTGAAATCTTACTGCATCGGAGCCAGCTTTAAGAACATTCTTCGACACCATTCCCACATAAGTAATAATGCACTGTGAAACGTGCATTGAATAAAACAATGAGTTTCCAGCTGTAATAATACAAACGCGCAGCACAAATAATCCACTTAACTTTGCCCTGTCCTGCCCCTTTTTTTCTGTACAAGGAGCAATGATCATCACAAGTGAAAGTTTAAAAGTTCACATGCAAAAATTAAAATGTGATAGTAAAAACACACCAAATGAAACAATTAAAGAGTTGCTGGATTGGCAAATAAACTGGTCAGACAAAACCCATGTAGGATCTACAAGACACTTTAAAAAGGGGAAAATAACATTGCAAATGTTCTGATATTAAAGCAAGTTGGGTTTCCTCGACAACCTCTGCATTGCTATAGAGATACCACACTGCACTGATGCAGTAATTCATGACAAAAAAAAGCCTGTTCCAATTTAAAGCATTCCGTTCAGTTACCAACCAAAACCCAAGAAAGATAAAAATCTAATATTTACTTTTAAGATTTTAATTTCAAAAGTAAAATCACTTTTTCATGATCTTTTAATTGATCAAGGCGCTCCTGTGTTTCCCTATATAGCAAGATGAATGATACAAATTGGTTTTACACACCTGCAAGCTACAGCGTCCAACAACTGTTAACACCTGCTGAGAGGACAGAAATTAGCAAATTACCTGAGAGTCACGGCTGCATTTGAGCTGCTTAGCCTATTATTTCTGCTCTGCTGCGACTGCAAGTGGCTCTCCGGCTGAGTTTTTTAAAAAATACAGCACAGATTAAGGGGCGGTGCGGGACTGGCCATGCAGCTTAAAAAACAAAACAGAAGAAAAGTGCGTCAGGGAGATCGCGGGTGACGAAAGAACGCCTGCTGTTAAGCATTAGGAGCTGGGATAGTTAAGCACTGATCTGTAACAGGAAGGAAAAGACGAAACCGCAGGGGCAGGTGTAATAAAACTGGATTTCAGATAACTGTCTCATTCCTGCATTCCACTGATATGTTGCAAGGCAATGACTACACCGACCTTATTAATCATTATAGGTAGGAATTCCATAAAGTGTCGACCTACATTGACCCGAGTGAGCTCATAGTCTAGTGTCAGGCTTCACTTTCATATTTTCCAACTACAAAAAGCATGTTACCTTGTTAAGCTATTTCCCCCAATGTGAACCTGACTTTTATCTGCATTTATTATGTATGAGAGGGTTAAAAGGGGTCTATGAGAAGATTATAAAAGCCTAACATTTTGATGAATTTAATCTAGCTATCAATCTATGCATGCATAGAGTGGTCGGACAACTATAATAAGGCTGTAAATGATTAAATACCATTTATATCTCTACAGCTGTTTGCTCCAAAAGCATTAACTAAAAGTAAAGTTATGCCTGTTCTATCCTCCAAAGGGTAATTCATATCACTAGGGTGTCATTTGTTGCTGCTGGTGAGGCCTGGAAGTGGGCAGAGCCGTAACTATTAATGCAGTCTCAGACAGAAGATGGACTGTCACTGTGGGGAACAGGAAGGGAGTGAATGTCAGTAACCTGAAGAGAGAGATCTGACATCTCAGCTCTGACTGTCTGTCACTCTGTCTTTCAGATGATGTATGGATGTTGTATGGCACCACTCAGCCAGCAGAGCCAGTCAACAGCATAAGGCTGAGGAATGCTGAGGAGAGACAATAGCCCTGAACATTGCTGCGGAATGACAAACCTCAATGAGGGAAGTGAAGGAAGGCACCGAGCTAAAAAAAAAAAACTGTTATTTAAATTTTAAATATGTTAATTAAGCTGGAATGAAACATCGAGTTGACAAGAGAAATGATACAGCTTAAACAAAAATTACATTAGAATAAATTTCCGCAACACTGCACAGAAAAGTAATAAAACACTATTATTCTACTTTTAAATAATCAAATAAATGTGTGTAATCAAGTCCAGGTTTGAGTAGTTCTTTTTCAAAGGTGGAAATAAAAGCTGTATGTATGAATCCTCTGTTCACTTTACTATTGAGCAGATCAGGTTTAACAAGTGGGGTATTTTGAATTAGGAAGATCAGGGTCAGGGTTCAGCCCTCTGTTTATTTTTAGTTTCTTTTTAATTTTGTGTCTTTGTAGTTTTCTAGCAGTGTTGTGTTTTTGAGTTACTCTCTGTTGCCTCCTTCTTCCTGTTTCCTTTCCCCTTGGCTCCCTTTAGTTAGTTCTATTCACACCTGCTCCATATCATCTCATTAGTCCATTCTTTGTTCTGTTCTCTATATATACACTGCCACTTCAGTTCCTCATTTCTGGTTTCTTGTTGTTTTGTTGCTTCATTGTCTCTTTGCTCCCCATGTGTGTTTTTCCAGATATTTATTGGATTTTTTTTTTTTTTTTTCCAGTATTTAGTTTTTTTGGACTTCAGTTGCCTGTGGGATTCTTAATGAAATCAACAAAACTCATCTCTGCCTCTGGATGAATCAGATGCTCAGTTTATCCTTCTATCTAAGGAAAGCCAGTTGATTGCAGTCATTGACTTTGCAGGATTGGCCTCTTCTACATGATTATGTGGCAATACTAAATTAGTGGCTTGCTTTGTGTTGTTGTCTGTACTGCAATCCTTAATACAAAATATATATTTTTTAGACAAAAAGTAAGACTGCTCTGATTCCGCCACAAAAATATTTCCTTACTTATCTGTGTAGATAATACTCTTTTTAATATTACTTTATAACATTCACATTATCTTAAACTTTCTTTACCACATACCTAAAGGACACTTAAACCCAAAAGTACAATTAATATATTGATATACTCCTTGGATTATTTTTTTCAAGGTGCATCTTCTCATTTAACCTCTGAAACAAATTTTTTCCACACTTATACCATCAAACAAAGCAAAACGACTCCCCTTATCGGGTCTGCCATTGTACACAAGAGACCAGCAAAATGCATCAGAGGTGTTGGTACCCATTTTACCCAGCATGCTTCAAGAATTTGTTTTTTGCCTCCTGTTTCACACTCAAAACACTTGTTATAAATGCAGCATAAAAAGGTTGTGGAAGAATATCCAAAAATGTGTCCCTAGTCCTACCGTTTGAAAGGAAAGTTTTGACAATAAAGAATAATTTTGAAAATAAAACTTTCCAAATATTTACCAATTAAAACACAGAGAATATTTAAATAATGGCTATACATACATATATATATATATATATATATATATATATATATATATATATATATATATATATATATATATATATATATATGTATATGTATGTGCAGACACAAAAGATGTACACGTTTGCATCTGTCTTGTGCATATACTTTCATTTATCCATATTTAGCACTCAATGCACAAAAGTCCTTAAAGTTGTGTGGATAAATTCATCACATAAGACAGTCCAGCCTCTACAGCAAGGTGACATCTCAGAGTCAGAAGCTGAACCCCCCTCTTCTCCACCCCATGGTTTCCTGCTCTTTACCCACTGGGGCTTCGCTGCAGCCTGCATGCCAGTAACGTTATCTGCTGCTTATTATTTGGCTGAATGAGCTGGAGCGGGGCTCACGGGCTCGTCTCTGACATAATGACTGATTACAGTCTTGCGGCTCCTATCGAAGAAATCCCATGGTTTCCACTGCTGTATTACCGTGGCTCACCGTACAGGCCAGATTTCTGTAAAAGAGAATGTGGATAAAAGCAGAAGGGGGGGAAACGAGGGAGGATCTGTAATAGTTTCAAGTGACAGCCTAACTGCTATTCAGTTCACAAGCTGCCATGAGTGACAGAGACCCTCATGGGCACCTGGGTCATCAACCTGTTTGTAATGTAGTTTGGTAACAAGCAATCCCTAAATGGGAAAGCTTTTTATAGCTTAACACAGTGCTGGAAAGGTATCCATCCTGGTAGGGTCATAGGGGAATTGGTAACCATCTCCAGTGGTCAAAAAAAAAAAGAAAAGGGCACACCCTCAGAAATAATGGTAAGAGAAATGGGCCCAATATTACAACTAATACACATTTATTAGCACCCCCTGATAAAGAGGTAAAAAAACAAACTTAAACATAGTACTTTTCTTTTAAGTTGCAGAATTTAACAGGGAAAGTCCAATGTTTTATATCTTTTAAATACATTTAGATTAAATATATTATATTAAATTTATATTTAACTTTAATTTATAATTTACATCATGCATTTAAGCATAAAAATAACAGTGGTCAGATGGGGCTAAGGCTTTGTTCTCCTGCATGGCTTTACATTCGGTTAAAGTTTTTATTTTCTTTGCTGTTCATTAATAACTTTCTTGCCACTGCCATAAAATGTAGATTGGCCATTATTACAAGAGGTTAATATGTATGCATGACAAATTAGCATATTTATATTGAATTGTATATTATTATTTAATCAGAATACACAAAATTCACCTGGTATAATTCATGATTCTCTAATGCTTGCTTACTTCATTGTATTTAATGTCTATACACTGATCCCTCAGTCGCTTAATTGTACATCTGTTAGACTTCAGTGGCATAAAAGTCAGATCAAATAGGACATGACCAATAAAACTATGTTTTAAAAAAAAAAACAAGTATGATAAAATTTATAACCTGTATTAATTTTTCTTCTTAGATTGCATGGCATCAAGAAATGCTTTAATTTCAATAAATATCTGCTGGGTGGAGCAGAAATCTTAAACTTGGTGACAACGGGTCTTCAAAATGCATTATGATCCAAAGTATAACTGATAGGCACAGTAATGATACACAAAAAATCATTAATTTAGGGTAATCTTAGTCCCAGACATAAATCCTATCAATAACCTGCAGGATGTGCTAAAGAGAAGAGAGCATAAAGGGCCGAACACACATAGACGCGATTTAGTGTCCTATCTGACAGAAAATCGGAGAGTATGCGGTTGAGGCACTTCGAGCTCATTGAAAATGCATGGGTCTGGTCATACTGCAGACGATTCTCCGCTACTGTGCTTGTGTAGATCCAACAAAGACAGACACCCTGATCTACTTTGGACAGGCCTACACAGCCATTAGGTTTAAAATATTAAAAAAAAAAAGCTGTCTGAGAATGACCCTTTACTGGTCTCAACTAGTTATAAACCTTAATGTAGTCTTGACTTTAGCTGCATTTTCTTTTTCATTAAATTCTCTATATCTTAAAATCCTTTAGCTGTTTTATTGTAGTAGGGTGTGTTGGTCATTGGATTCAGGTCTCTAGGAAATCCAGCAAGAGTTTGCAAAGATACATGATAAACATCTCCTTTATGTCCAGTAGCCTTGTAAAATGTTATCTGAATATGGAATATCCCTATTTATTGAAAACATGTTTCGAATAGCTTTTACAACAAGAAAAACATATTTAGCACCATTCATTTTTGTAAAAACAATAATAAAAATAAGTGATTTATGTTCCCAAAATTAAATTCAACTTCAAAACTCACTTAAATGATTGCTGATGGATGTATCTAACAAGAACAAAATATCTCAAAGGAAACCCCAACTTCCCAAAAATAAGAATGTGATACAAAGTCTGAATACAGCACCAAACGTGGCCGAAACAACCTAGTGTTTGCAGCAAACCCTGTCAGCACTTTCCAAAGCCCAGCTTTCAGGCAGTCAATTAGGTTCAAGGTGAGACAAAAATGGGTTGTCATTTAAACACGTTCGCTCCGCCGGGACACTGCATCAATTTAGTCATCTTCACTTCAGAGGCGACGAAGGCCTGGCAGAAAAGTTTATATACACCACTGGAAGCATAGATCTGCCACTGCTATACTCGTGTGAGATAAAGGAGTCTGAAATGCACCATCCCTCTGAAAGAAACAACAGAATGTTGAGGAGGCTGCCTTTCTCAGCCTGATGCCACCTCAACATTCTGTTGATCCCATCACACATGCCTGAACCTAATTCTATAGTATTGATTAGGAATATCCACTCGCTTCAAGTCTTAAAGACACTAAACCCAATGCATTTTAAATATCCATTGGATTTAGACACAAGATGAACATGCTTATTCACAGTACCAAAAAATATATACATATTTAGCACCAGTTTTCGATGGAAGTTATAACTATTGTATTCAGGTAGGTGTTTTCATTTTATTTATCATTCATCTAATCAGTAGCAACTAAGCACAAACTGATTTGTATTGGATCTTATCTTGGTTCTTTTTGGAATACATTTTTTTTATCAGCAATTTTTATTCAAGTTGAATATTTGCCATGATGAATTTTTTTTTCTTTTATTAAATTAACTTCTAAATAAAACAGAAATGTTCTCCTTCTTTGAGCTTATTTTTCAGAATCAAGCAATTTGACCTACAGCTTATGAGTTGTTAAGTCATGCATTTTCATAGGGCTGAAGCAATTAATCGGATTAATCCTGATTAAATGATTATTGAAATAATTGTAAACTAATTTAGTAACTCATTAATCGTTAACTGGAGCACAGAGACTATATAACATGCCTTTAGCTGACAGAGGAACCCACTTAAGAGTAGTAATTATACCAAGATCATAAAAAAAATATATAAACATTTTGCATTTAAGATTTAAAAAATGTTTTCGTCTGTCAATATCCTCTATCCAGAACTCCTCAAGTGGAAAAGATTGAGATTCACCTGGTTTAATTTCATTAAAAAAAAATCTTCTTTAAGGAACCTTTTGCTATCTGATTAATAATCTATTAATCAAAAAAATGATCAACAGATTAATCGATTTACAAAATAATCTTTGTTGCAGCCCTACATTTTAATATAATTCAACATCTGTGAATACTAGGTTTACTATATTACATTTTTGCTTATCTTAATTCTGTAACATCAAGCAGAAAACACCAGCTGTTTGTCCAATGAGACTTAAAGCTACAGTGTGTAACTTTTAGCGACATCTAGCGGTCAGACTGCAGACTGCAGCAACATGAACATCTCCCCCCACCGCTTCTCCCCCCCAACAGTACGGCGAGCGTTACGGGACAAAATGTCTTCCACGACGTCCGCATCACCTACCTTCTCAAGTGATGAGGTTTGTTTACATAGATAATTTTACAGATAGTATTTCATTAGTCTGTGTAGGCCCTACACTGTAGGGTATAGATTTCATGTAGACTTAAGATAATAAATATACCCGTTATTTTTTCTACATTGTTGTGACGTTTTGGCGATCTCGCAATCGCTAGTTTGTTGGCTCTG